AAATATTGCGCAAACAAACATTGTAGTAGTTCTCGTTTTTTTTTTTTTTTTTTTTTTTTTTTTTTTTAATCACTACGTTCTATCCGCAAAAGATTCAGAAACGTGAGCATAAGCAGCAGGCTATAATTTCAGATGTTATTAACGATCGAGGAGAGATCGTTTCGATGGATTTTGTAATTTATATCGAAACCGCTTCGGTGAAGCGTTTATGTGACTTGTTATTTATAATAAATTCAAAAGTTTTCTCGGGTTACTAATGCGCTCCGAAAACCGATCCAATGCATTAGCGTTTGTGCGAAATTACGTCGTTTCTGATTGGTCTCCCGCGTCCAACGTTTTTTGTAACTCTTCCTGTGCATATATTATCGCCGGACAAGAGGTGAAAAATTCGCTCCCAATACCGTTTGTTACTACATAACGACAAGTGTATAACATTTTGATTTCTTTGTTTTTTTAACATTTTTCGAAGATAAATCGCGACGTAACGAGGAACCGCGCCTCTTTCTCGCGTGATTATAAACGCTCTTAAATTTCCCCGCGCCGACGTGTTTAACGACGCGCCGACGGCGACGCGTTATTTGCGATGATCATGAAGTAATCGAGAGACGGAGTTGAAGGATAACGTCTCTCGAGAAGAGACCTCGCTCCGCAAAAATAATCCGACGGTATCTTCATCGCGTGCCGCGGCAGCATCCGGCGAAAATCCACGACGAAAACTCGTTGCCGACGCGTCGTCGCGCCGGAGACGCGCATGCAGCAGGTTATAGGTTGCATCCCGTTTAACGCCGCGTTAAGCGGATTATTTATTGAAGGCATCGGCGCCGGTGCCGGGACCGATTAGCATAGTAATGCCGCCGTAAGGCTTGGCCCCGGTGCGTCTGCGTGACTCGGATTACTTACGCGCGCACACACACGCGCGTGCGCCGCTAATCCACCATTATTAAATTATCGCTGAAGCGCGCGTTGCACCCGACCGGCGCACCGATGATTATCATTTATCAATATCACGAGCTCGTACTAACGTCGCGAAATCGTCGCGTTGCCGCCGATCCGCAGACGCGTAATGTTATGTAGATAACGCTGGTATGAACGCGTCGTCGCGATACAAGGATATGTTGCTCTTTCTTTCTTCTCGAGAACGCCTGCAGCTGGAACGATCGCTAATCGCCGATTTCGATCGACATAATCTCAGAACGCGTGATTCATGCAGTCGTTTCAACAGTTTTTTACTTTTGCGCGAGAATATTATTATTTTTCGTGTTCACATCGTGGAACGAATAGATGACGCGTGTGAAAATATATTGTTCTCAGTATCAGAGACACACGCGCGATCCGAGCTGTTCCGAGACAAGTGTAATTGAATCATCGAATCCTTTGCAAAAAAAAACACCACATCGAGGAAAATAGTATCAAAGGACAATAAAATACGGATTTCGGATTTTAAACGATTAGATGTGAAAAAATTCACACGATTTAAAACAAATTTATCAGCGTGTCTTTTTTTTTTTTTTTGTCATATTTCTTTTCTGTCAAAATTCGTGTTGCTGATTCAAGTAGCTATTTCGTACACACACACACACATACACGTATTAGTAATGAGATTCTGTCGCAATTCGCGACAGCTTTAATAAGAAATCCGATAATTATGTCGGTAATTGCGTCTGAAAAGTCGTGAGAAAAAACGCGACAAGGACGCCCAACTGTGACGAATGATGGGTGGAAGACACAGAGAGGTAATAGGAAGAGAAATGATTCCCGCGCCATAATCCTGAAAGTTTATTGACGCGCTCGTGACAGGAACTGAGAAACGTCCACGGCTCTATCGTCATCGTCGTCGCTTGGCGGGCTCGCGTGTGTGTGTGTGTGCGCGGCATCTCGATAATATGCTAATAATGCTCGCGGCGGGCGGTATTTTACGATCGTTACGTCGGTACTGTGGATATTGTAATTATTGTTTCGCTGATCTCCGCTCATCTACTACGTCCACAATGCTGCGCTACGAGCGCGCGCGCTCCTCGGATCGAATGTTGCATCGATCGCGCGCACACAGAGGCTCCTCGCGCAAGATACTCATCGCAATTACTTATGACTCTGCCACGAGCGATCGCATGATGTTGAAGCATGATTTTCAGCGACAAATATTTCTCGCTCGTTATCGTCTCACAAATGTAGATCGAATTTTAATTAATTTCGTTCACTCAAGCGATTACTTTAACGATACAAAATAAAATGCAAAATAAATATTACACAGTTTCTCTCGCTTTAGAAAAAAAAAAAAAAACAATTGTTCAACATAGAAATATAAATTCGTTTTCTTTGTCCGCATGCAATTTTCCCGAACTGAAGCGAGAATCCCAGTTCAAAAGCATTCAGTTTGCCGAATAATCAACACTTACCGCGACGAGGGTGCTGAGAGCTTCAATTCGCATAGTAGCTGGCCAGGCCAGCAAGGAGGCCGTAGGTTGCGAGCTGGTTGGATCGACTCGCTCGTATCGATCCCTTCGGTTTACCGATCCCTTCGGCTGCCGGAAGTCACTCGGCGGCCCTAAATATACCGGGCCAACGACGATGGCTCTCTCCCGGCTCCACGTCGATTTCTCGTGATGATCCGCCGTGCCGATCCGGCGATGACATGGCTACCGCGCCGCCGATCTGTCGACAGAATCGATAAGCGTCTCTTTATTGCTGCTGGCCTCTCTCAAACTGTAATGTATACATACAACGAGTTAACGAACGAAACGCGGACTCGGACTTTGCGTTCGTTCGTGTGTGAGCGAGTGACCGGCTTTATACACGCAACCGCGATCGAGATAGTCATATCGTCTAATCACCGTTCAAATCTTTATCAACGCGATCGTGTTGCGCGATCACAACGCGTTTTAGTTCGTACGTACGTACTTACACGTGTTCGTCACGGTTTTGGCAGTCGATTAATCAAACCAAAATGTTCAAATAGATTTCGACATTTTCCAAATTAATATTTTAACAAAGAGAGTTAACCTGACCGCGGTAGCATATTTTTCTCTCCGATCGATAAGATTATTAATCGACAACTCTTACTTAATGTGTAATCTATATTTAGCATTGAATATAAAAAACACAATTGCACAAGAGTACGACTTATACGTAAGTAGGTTACATTTTAATTTCTAGTATTTGTTTTTTTTTTTTTAAATCTAAAAGACAATTGTTATCGCGCATTCTCTCACCTTTCACATGGAAAATCTCTGCACTCATCTATCTATTGCAATTTTCCCGTTCAAATATCTCTGTCTGATATATTTCCGAACGACCGGTCTCAGGAGAGCGAAATTTTCGTATATTTTCATCCGCGAAAGTGTCGCGAGAATTGTAAATGACCGTTGCGCGATACCCGAGCCGCAATCGCTCAACAGGATGACGCGTTCACCGCGCAACGTGTAACGACGGACTGAACCGAACGGCGAACGTTTAACATTCCGATAAAGTCAACGACGCTAAACGCCGGCGTTTCGTGCAAAAAGAGGCGAGGGTGTTTCGTCACTCGATCGATTCCCGTTCCTGCGAATCGGTATCTTATCTTGCTCGTTTCCGACGATCCCGGACGATTACGTCGCGGCCCCACGACGTCTTGTACTGACCTACCGATGAGGTAAACGTATCTGCCTCGTCGGAGAGCAATCACGCCAGTCTGTGCGATTCAGTCTTCCTTTTACACGTTATATATATATATATATATCTGCTGTATATAGCATAGCTGCTTATCTTATTTATTATACTCGCGTTTTATCCGTCGTGCATCTTCGGCTATCGATCGTCTTGATGATTAATAAAAAACAGTTCAAAGAGTGAACGCGATGCTTCCTCTTATCATCTCCGAATCCCGCGCGATACAATAATTCCGCATTACATTCCGATCGATTGAAGAGACATACGAGACGTACGTGCGCGGATCGTGCGTTTTATTCAGCAGCATGGCGGTAACGGCGTCGGCGTTCACCTGGCATCATTCGTTATGTGAGTTAATGACTCTCCGAGAAATCATCGATTGGTCCCCGTCTGGAAGTCGCGACGCCTCTCACACGGTGGAAAACACGCCTTCTCACCGGGTTGCCGCGTAATGGACGGGACTTCACGCGTGCGCGCGCGTTTGCTGCGTTCCGAATGAGAAACACCGGCTATATACAATACAAAAGCCGCCTTCGAGAGATAAATAATATAACACGCGAAGGGAAACCTGCGTCTCCGCATTTGATCGCGGTGCGCTTCATCGTGGGTCCCACGAGAGAGATCGGACGAGGTGACTCGGCTAGAACGAGGTACACACACACACACATATACATATATATCTGTACACACACGCGCAAGCCGTGCAATCGCGCGTTTCCTCACACTCGTCGTCGCGAATTAATTCCCATGCAAAATGCCGAGGTCGGTTATATCGCCTACCTTTGATGAGAGAAGAAAATGAACTGAAGAAAACACGATGCTTAATCCGTGACTCGGTTACAGTAATCTCTCTCACGCGTATGATATAAAATATTATAAAACGGATGGCTCTCTGATGTTCCGTTTTTCGTGATAAATCCGAAGAAGCGAAATTAAAGCGCGCTTGTATGTAGGAGAAAAAAATTAATTGAATGTTTTATATACTCCGTGTAATAATAATTTTATATATATAAAGATAGAATTTCAGAAAAATCCTCACTTCAAATGTCGTACTTTTCCTTGTTTTGTGTGATCGTGTGTAATTGTGTTCTTATTAATTATCATGAAATCTACGTAAATCGAAGCGGGGTCGGATTTATGATAACGTACGGCGCACGGAGAACGGGTTTATCACAGGCAATTACGAACAATGCGACGGAGATTCGATGACGTGGATATATTCTTCGGGCTCGAACACGCTCGCGTGTTCCCGCCGCACATCATGAATTTACCGGCTTCCTCTTCTCATTGATCATCAAAATGCCGGCATTCATTCGATTCGATCGCGTCCCCGGTAGGGCGGAGTGCGCGAGAAATCGATGGAAGCCGACCGGCGTGATGCGGCGCGTAATCATAAGCGGATTAGGGTTATAATTTTCGGATTATTGCATCGGTGAAAGTGCAATATACATCGTACAGTTTATATATAAATATATATATATATATATATATATATATATATACACACATATGTGTAAGTGTTCAAAGAGTGAATCACGACGCGTGAAATTTGTTCGATAAGAAGTGCATTAAGAAACACGTCCTAGAAGCGGAACGCATCGCCAGCACTGCTTTATGAACGTTACGTTCTCAGCACTGACAGCAAGCATCGGAATGCAGTCAAAATGCTTCCGGTCGGCGGAGCGTGTCACCGTCTCTCTTATCACCGGTGTTTCCCCTGTAATCAAAAAAGTGGGGGAATGAATGTGGCAGGACAAGGTGCGCGCGGGCCCGAGTAAGGGGGACACTTTTTGTTTTGTCACTCGGTTAAATTATCGCGAGCGCGAATAATACGGAATTCGGTCGGTTCGCATTCCTTTGCGATATTCGCGCGCACCGTTCTCGTGTATACCTGTCCGGCACGCACGTACGTCCGGGCGAAAGCGAAACACACGTGCGCGACCGAACCCCGGTCCGCAGATCGACGATAACCAAGTCGTTATCGCGCGCGCTACCGACTAATGCGCTTGAGGAACGCGCACCGCGGATTCCGATCGATTTGTCTCTCTATGTCGCGAATTACCGGCGAGCGTTCGGCAGAGAAGTGTTTTTTTACGCGCCATTCGAATTTACAGAGATTCGATGTAGAGATATAGAATATATAAAAATATAAAATAAGTATGTGATATTAATGCTGACAAATTGATTAAAAAAAAAACAAAACACAAATTTCGTAATTGACAAATAGCACGTTTTTTTAACGCCAATTAAGTGTTTCGTGGCACCAATTCACGAAGCGTATAAATAACTTCACAAACAAATCGGTATTAAAAAAAGAGACTTCCAAACTATCCTTGAAAAGCGAAGTTTAATCCTCTGGATCTCCAATAAATCATCGCGAGAAATCCCACGTAAATCTACCGTGATACGCCGTCTTATGATAATGTCGCGACAATTCGTTTGATTGTCAAACGAACGGGAATTCTATCGGGAAGTCGCGGCGCAAATAAATCCCAAAAGATCAATGTCACGAATACTTAGTTGGCGATGAATAACAGCGGGAAGTGAATTTTTCAATTGAGAAATCGGAGCGTAACGAATCCGGGAACTGACGCGAGAGACCGTTGTCCACCCACGTAAAAACAGCGACTTTCTCTTCGTGTCCGTCTTCTCTTCTCCACGTGTCCTCTTTCCTTCATTTTGTTTGTTCTTCGAACGCACGTTCGCGGCCGATCTGAATCCGTCAGAACGAACCCCGTCGGGGCCGGATCGCGATGCGCGATCGTCATCGATCAACGTATTAACGATCCCGCGATGCCGCGAGATAAGCGAGTCAATCGCGGACCCCCGGCTATCGACGCACACGACCAGAGGAATGTTGTAGGTTTAATTACCGCATCGCGTTTGCGAGTAATGAACGAGACGCGTAATTCTCGCGCGGTGACTTGCGATCCCGGTAATTTGGCCCGCATGAGTGTTCCCGAGATAGCTCATTACTTCGTTATCGCGAAAGAACTACCTCCGGCTACGGGGGGATCCGCTCGCGTGTGCATTATTAATCGCCATTATCGTCTCATCGAACAGAACACAACGCGATATTGTATTCTAGATCTTCGATCCCGGTCACAAAACGGGAGTTTGACTCGCAAACCCGCATAATGAGTGCAATTTTCTCGAGATCGATTATGAGGGAGATAACGATCAGCGACAACGCGGCGATAGTAATGACGTAAGAATCGCTGACGCGTTGCGAATTTGTACAGGATGACGCGATACAAATTTGCGGAATTCGGTACTGATTCGCGCGTGATAAACGCGCGAGTAGATCGCGACGCGTGATTCAGAAAGCGACTTTTGCACCCTTACGCGGGGGAATTTCACCTGACTGTGCGATCGGGACTTCGTGTCGCGCGAAATCGCCGCGTAATACATCGATAAATTATAACCGAAGTGCATGGGAAGATCATTGGCATTTTCGCAGAGGCGGAGTCGCCGCCGCCGAGTTTGCGTTGAGTCACTTATCGGTGGCGGCGGCGGCGGCGCCTAGCTTCATCGCGATAAAAACCTCGTGGAGAATGCGTTAGAGGCTTGGTTAACCGGCGCCTTCCATTCCGCGTCATTAGTTTATTATCACCGTGGCAATAATTACCATGAGTATCGCGTATGAGCCCTTGGGAGAACGAAAATATCTTGGTCGAAAAACTGGCCTTCGGAGAAATTCCGTTTCGCGTTATTTAGTCGACGCGCGCAGCTGTATTTTAAGTAATCGCGAATGATCGAGAAATCCATTTGGAAAAAAAAAAAAAACACGTAATGACAGAGCCTAACGTTATTTGGTGCAAGTATAGAATCTGTTCTCGACAATTCAAACGTTTCGCGCGATATTATTCTCTCTGCGAGTTTTCTCACCCGAGAGACGTTACCATTCTTTCCGCCCACGTGACAAATCTGCCTTAACGAATCTTTAATTTACAGCAACAATTTTGTATTGCGGAATAAATAAGGAAATTGTGCGCGCAATAATCCGCGCTCGTTAAAGTTGCGCAAGCGAAGCCTGCGATGATTTTGCATCTTTTTTTTTTTTTTTTTTTTTTAAGAAATGTCATCGCGCGCAATTTTTCATTTTTGACAGTCGAGTATAGAACTCATAAAAATGCGTGTTTATTAATAAAAGCCAATTAAAAAAAACGCGACCCTCGAAATGAAATAGTCAAATACAAATAGTCAAGTACAATAATGTTGTTGTGTGTGCATTATTTTATTATTTTTATTATTGTGCGTACAAATTTTCGTGACGGAAAAGCGAGGCACAAAATCTACCCTTGTCAAGCTCATTACAAATGACTGATCTCACATATAGTCGAACGATATCGACTTTTCGCATTATCTCCACCGAGTCAGACAGAAGGAGAAACGGCAACACACGCGATAGATATATCTCGATAGATTTTATTGTGCGGTTCGGCTTTTCATAACTATATATATATATGTACTCCGGTTAGAAGAATCTGTCACACGATAACAGAAAACCGCGTGGGCGCATCTTTCGCATTCGTCCGAGAAATAACAAGACGCGAGAATCGCGTGTCGACGTATCTCATAACGCGTCGTCGCACGTCGAAATAAAA